TTATTTATTTATTTACTTCAGAGAGAATCTGAAGCAGACTCTGCATTGAGCACTGAGCCCAACTCAGGGCTCAATTTCACGACCCTGAGATCAAAACCTGGGCCGAAATCAAGAGTCAGACACTCAACCGACTCAGCCACCCTGGTGCCCCTTGTTGGAGATTTTAAAAGGAAAAAAATACATATATTCCTGTCATAGGTAAGGGGAAGACAAGATTTGGAGTCTAATTAATTGCTGATTTCAGGGCTGTCTTCAAAAAGTACCTTGATATTTGGCTGATTCTGGTCAAAAACAGTAGGTTAGATTTTATTATGTTAAAAAAACAGTTATTTTGAGCAAATAGTCTTCATAATAAGCAATCAAGACATTACACAAATCTATTCAATGGGTAAATCCATTAGACATCTAGGATTATATTTTACTATTACTCAAATTGACAGATGATTGATATTAACAATGATTAATATTGCATTGATATTAATCAAATAGCATCCCATATAAACTTTATTTTTTGAAGGTTTTATTTTAATTCCACTTAATTAACATACAGTATTGTATAAGTTTCGGGCGTACAATGTAGTGATTTAACACTTCCCTACATCACCTGGTGCTCATCCTGACTAGTGCCCTCCTTCAGCCCTGTCCGCCGTTTCCCCGTCCCCCTCACCACCTCCCCTCTGGTGACCATCAGTGTGTTCTCTGTAGTTAAGAGTTTCTTGGTTTGTTTCTTGGTTTGTCTCTCTCTATTTTCCCCTTTTCTCATTTGTTTTGTGTCTTATATTCCACACATGAGTGAAATCATATGGTATTTATGTTTCTCTGATTGACTTATTTTGCTAAGCATAATATACTCTAGCTCCATCCATGTTGTTGCAAATGGCATGATTTCATTATTTTTTATGGATGGATAATATTCCATTATATATGTATACCACTTCTTCTTTACCCGTTCACCTGTTGTTGGACACTTGGGCTGTTTCCATATCTTCGCTAAGGTAGATAATGCTGCTATAAACATTGGGGTTCATGTGTCCCCTTGAAGTAGTAATTTTGTATTCTTTGGATAAATATCCAGTAGTGCGATGGTTGGATCCTAAGGTAGTTCTAATTTTAATGTTTTGAGGAACCTCCGTACTGTTTTCCAGAGTGGCTGCAGTCCCATCCCTCTTTCTCCACATCCTTGACAATGCTTGCTGTTTCTTGGGTTGTTCATTTTACCGTATACACTTTTTAAAGGATTTTATTAGTAAGCATAGGATAGGCTTGGGCCATGCTGATTCCTCAATCGTATCGGCTTTACCCGGTAAGAAGTGAGAAGTTCATGTCTCACTTTCGTATTTTGCACTTTCGCGGCTGCAGACCCAGCGGCCCTCCAGTAGTGACTCAGGGATCCTGGCGCTTCTGTCTCATCTCGGAGTTTCAGAATGAGGCCTCTTCAACTGCCACAGCAGGAGGAGAGACTGGGAAGTATCCCAGTGGCTCTTCTCAGCTTCCCGCCAGATGCGATGTCCCTTCCTTCCCATTTCCAGGCACACAGTTCCTCGAGGAGCTGTGATGAGGGCAGGTGGTGTGGCTTCATGCTCCCCAGAAGAGCTATTGCTGCACACCAGTGAGGCCTGCCGCCACCTCCTCACGGTGGGCAGGTCAAGTGTGGACGCTTGGCCCACTTGCTCTCAGAGCACTGGGCCTACTTTCTACCAGCCACATAACACCTGGGCTCTAAGCATCCAGAAGCAACCTTAGTGTAGATGCGTTCACTGTCTGGCTTCTGTCTGTGTGGCCCAAACAACCAATATTTGAGAAATACTATTCAAAGGTGTGTTAAGACTCATCTCTCTAGATTCTCCAAATGCCTTCTCTCGTAGACACCAGAGAGCTACACTCTGTGACTCCTGAGAGCCTGAATAAATCTTATCAGAGAATTATGAGTTAACATCATGTTCCTAAGTTTTTCATGAGGCAATGGGAGAAACCAGTGCATTTATTCAACAAATACCAGTGGAGCTTTCACTGTGCGTTAGCTGCTGCAGTGAACACGTCTGCAAAGGTCAGTCCCTTGAGATTACAAACATCCTTCCCTAACATGCTGAATATCCCTATGAAAAAATTCCATATGGCTTAGTTGGCCAAAACAGTTTTTTTTGAAAAATGAATATACTTCTGTTTATTAAATAATATAACTTGCATAAAATACCGTATTTCTGTATTTTCTTTTTCACCTTGACTACCAGAAAACTCAGAGCTGAGCTTTACATTGTTGCTGTAGCTGTTTCCGCTGTAGACATTTGACACAATAGCTTCTTCCTTCAATACTTTTTTTGTACCCTTTAAAAATTATTCTATTATATACTGGTCATTTATTTTATGCCACTTCAAATCCTTTGAAAGTATTTTGATCAAATATGAATAATAAATGATTTAATTATGCTGTCTTAGCAATTCATAAATATCTACTTGTTGATAGATTGATACTTTTCAAGAAATACTTTTTGGGGGAGTGCAGAAGAGGATTCTATCGAATAGATAAAATGTAACTGTGAGTTATAAACAAAAGAGATTATAGATACTTTCAACAAAGCCCTCATTTTTCCTTTAATCCCCCAATATTTTCCTGTTTCTTTCTTTCTTTTAAGTAGGCTCCACACCCAACGTGGGGCCCGAACTCACGACCCTGAGATCAAGAATCACACACTCCACCGACTAAGCCAGCCAGGCACCCCCATTTTCCTGTTCCTTACCATCAAAACTCTAAGGGAACAGATTTTAATTTAGAAAACTAATGATCAATTCCTTTGTGCAGAACAGTTTTGAGAAGACATGGTATTGCAGTTCTGTGGAGGTTGAGTTTCGTTAAGGGAGGAATCCTAGAAGTATGCTGTGCTGGTCTCTGTGCTTCTTAGAGGGAAAGAAAGGTCCATACTCATGGACATCTTACCTCACTGATGTGAGGAACCCCTGAATCTTCACAAATTTATTTCCTATCCTCTGAGCACATGTGTCTTAGAGTGTGCATGTCTTACCAAAGCCTCTGATGAATTGCCAACTTCTTGCTCATCTGGTAAGATTAAAATGTCATCAATATAGTGAGCCAAATTAACATTCTTTTTTTTTTTAAGGTTTTATTTATTTATTTGAGAGAGAGAGTACAAACAGGGGGAGCGGCAGGGAGAGGGAGAAGCAGGCTTCCTGCTGAGCAGGGAGCCTGTCGCTGGACTCAATCCCAGGACCCTGGGATCATGACCTGAGCCAAAGGCAGATGCTTAACAACTGAGCCACCCAGGCGCCCCTGGAGCAATACTCTTATTGGCTGGCTAACTGCCCCACTCATGACAGCATGCTTGGCTGACCATTTCTGTAGCTCTTTGGAGTTCAGAGTACCCAGGCTGCCACTCCAGTCTTGCTGCTCAATATAATAATAGCACCTGGCTTGCTTCAGATGGTTAAACATCACCACTTGGCCTTTATTGTGTCACTATCTGATCATCATCACTCCTGTCAGCAAGCCCAGTGCGATCTGTAACAGCATCTGTACCCTCAGCCCAGTCCTACAATGGCCAGCTACTGCAGAGACTCTCGCCTGTACGTTCCTCATCACTTTTGTAAATGAAGTGTCCTCTGGACTTTCCAGGACACCTAGTTGGCAACTAGGTTTCCCGGTCGTGGGAGTATATTTACTCCCCTGTGCCACTTCTCTGAGCATTCTGATGCTTTTCTCTGCCACTACTACTTGGCTTTTCCACTTAGTGTGGGATATCACTTTTTATGAGCTTCCAAAGGCCATGCTAGTGGCATGGGGTTCTTGCCAATGTGCCAAATCCTGTATCATGACTGAATGATCCCATATCAGTAAACTCTAACCTGATCTACCTTTTTGTTCTTCCTGCCCATATCCAGCCTTCTCTGGATCTGGTTCTGTGTTTATTTTCCCAGCCCTTTGGGCACATGTTCCCTTGGTTGTGAGGCTCCTTTGCAGATAGGACCTTCTTCCTTTGTCCAGTCTGGCACTTCTCCAGCAGATATGGTGGAGGAGTGGAGCTAGAGGCTGACCACTGGCGTGGTGTTGTCTTGCAGAGGTCTCTGCAATCATCATCAAACACAGAGAGAACATTCGTCTTTAACAGGGAGAAGTGGGACCCCTCTTCAGTTCCAGAAGATTTAGGGAAATCTGGGATTGAAGATTTCGAGTACGTTAATCTAGATGACCCTCTCCCAAGCCTCAGTGTCGCCCTTCTTCCCCAGGGCCCCTGCCCTGTCCCACTCTATTCCCCTGCCTGGCTCCCCCTCATCCCTCCCAGCTGGCTTCCTTCTATCCTGGACCCCTAGTCCCACTGGGTCCCCTAACCCATGCCCCGACTGGGTTCCCCCATTCTTCCTGGTTCCCAGGCCTCCACCTCCTTCTCGACCTCCTCGCTCCTCACCTTCTCCTGCCTCCCCGCCCAGTCCCCCTCCTCCCGTCCCCTCTACCGGTTCCCCGCACCCTGTTCCCCCATCCCCCTCCCGGCTCCCCCAATCCCTCGAACCGCCCCCCTCGCCGGTTCCTCCCATCCACTTGCCAGGTTCCCTCCATCCCTCGCCCCCTCCACCCAGGCCCCCCATACCCCCTCCAAGTTCCCCCTATCCCTCGCCCCCCCAGCAGGTTCCCCCCTCTCCCGGTTCCCCCCTCCTCTCGCCTCCCCGCATGGTTCCTCCCCGTTCCGCGCCCCCACAACCGCCGGGTCCCTTCTGAGCCCTCCCCTGAGACCGACTCCGCTCCTCTCCGAGTCTCCGCCAATGTGGAGCTGGAGCTGTTTTGCGGCCAGAGCCGTCTCGCTCCCGCCTCCTAGACCTCAGCCAATGGGCAGTTGTGGTCGCTCTGGGGGCGGAACCGTCATGCCCCGCCTCTCTGTGGCCGCGACCAATGGCGAGCTGGGCAGGCCAGTGGGCGGAGCCGGGCGGCGGTGGCGCCGCGGACCCGGCGCGCACGGGGTCTGGCGCAGAGCGCTGGGACTGCGCCGCTGCTCGGGCTCCGGCTGCTCAGCGGGGCTCGGCGCGCGGATTCTGGCGAGGCCCGCGCGGGCTTCCGGGCGGGCGACCCAGCATGGCGGTGGAGGAAGAGGGGCTCCGGGTCTTCCAGAGCGTGAAGATCAAGATCGGTGAGCGCCGTGCGTCCCCTCCCCCCGAGGACAGGCCGGGCTGCGGCGGGCGCGGTCCGGGGGATGGTGGGGGGCAGTGCGGTGCAGGACGCGGGTCCAGTCCCCGCCGGGAGCGCGCGCCAGTGGGAGCCTGGGTGCGTGCGTTCCCGGGGGCGGATCCGCCGACCGCAGGTTCCGCATCTCCCCTCAGCTGCTTCACCCAGAAACTTCCTTCCACCCGTTCCCCCAGGGGCGTGGGCCCGGGTCTGGCTGCGGGCTGGTGCGGGTGCGCGCGTCCGTGTGGGCGGATGTGTGTGCGTGTGTTCGTGGGTGTGTGTGCGCCTGCACCGGCCCGAGTGTGGATGTGTGGAGTGCGCCTGGCTCGGGGCTCTCTCGGGCTGGGAGACGGGGAGCCGCCCCCAGCTCCCCCTTCCATTGAGAACTGGCTGGAGGAGCTTTGGGCCACCAGCGCCTGCCATTCAGGCCGTGTCACCGGGGAGGATTCTGCCCTTCCCACTGGGTCCAAGAGCTGGGGGAGGGAAATGAAATACAGATTCTGGAGTGGGCTGGAAGGCTATATCTGGACTTCCTGGGGTTATCTGGAGAGATTTGCTTTTTCCCAGTGCTGTTTTGTCTCGGGAGGGTGATGTGCAAGTTTTTTTCCCTCCTAAAAACAAGATCCTTGTCTGGAGTGACTCTAACACATTGATGCCATAAATGTGCCGGGTGACAGGACAGCTTATGGTGGAGAGGGCTCCTGAGGACCCACAGTGTTGCCCCCCCTTAGGGTCCTTCTTGCGTCCACCTTCCCTTCTATTTCCATGTGAAAAGGGGCCGCTGGGAACCGAGCCAGGCACCCAGTGATTGAGTGTCAGTTGTTGATGACATTTGATGCTGCCTGAGGAATTCCAGCTACCCCAAATCAGCGTGTTGTTTCCTGTCTGCTTTATTTTGGTTTATGGATCATCGCTGAGACACTGTTGATATTTGGCTGAGAAGCACTGTGGATTGGATGTCGCAGCTCTTCAGGCTTGAAGAGTCTGCCTGCAGAGGATTTCTCTTGTTTACTTGGTTGAAATCTGCTGTCACTTTCATACTGAGAGATTCAACATTGCATGCCGCTGAAGTGGGGGCAGGGAAACCGCCTCTACTAGGGTCCTTCAGCCAAGGGCCCTCACTCAGCACCTGGGTCCACTGAGCTGTGTGAGGGACATCACCCCCGAGGGTTTCAGATGCTTCCTTAATCAAGGGAGCAGGAGGGGCACCTTGGGGTGGGGTCTGGTTGTGGAGGAGTGTGCCAGGCTTTCCAGGTACAGCAGGCAGGAATGGGTCTGAGGACCCTGTGGTTCAGGCCCAGCACAGCCAGTCTCGTACTGGACTCCAGCAGTGTTCTGGAACAGTGCTAGGTTGAGCAGAGAGGGTTGATTTCTTTCCAGAATGGCACAGTACATGAAGCAGGGGAGTGAGGAGACCCCTGGAGATGCCGGAGAGCAGCCCTACCGGCCTGCCAGTGCCTGTCCGTGGGTGGGTTCTGGGTCCTGACAAGGAGGGGCCTGGTGTGGAAGGAAGAGGGTTTGAAGAGACTGCTTGGTGAGGCTTTCTGTGTTTTGTGTTCCACTTTAAACAAGGGAGAGAAACACCTCAGCTCAGCTTTGGAACAGTGCAGTGACTGACACATCTGCCATCTCCAACCCCGTGTGGGGGTGGGTACTGTTGGAAGCTTTGGAGCCCCTCCCCACGTTTGAGGGATGTAGCATCGAGGACAGCACCACCTCCAACTCCCTGGATGTTTTTCCATCTCCAGGAAGCTCCTGTCTCTCTCTCCTCTCCGAGGGTCTTCATCCACAGTGCACAGTGCTGGGCTGCAAGAGGGAGATACCTGTCTCACCTTCGTAGCTGGGAGTGGTCAGGGAGCAAGGGCCTACCAAAGCACAGGCAGGACATCCTCGTGTTTGAGCACAGACATGGTGTAGGCTGTGCTTCGGAGTTCAAGCCTGGGCTGCAGGCCCTGAAGGCGGACTGGGTGGGCTGGTTTGGGGCTTAGTCTCATTTAACTCGAGGGACAGCCTGTTAATAGAATGGGATGAGCATAGTTCTGAGCGTGGAAGGTGGTGTGCTGAGCTCTTGATTTCTTTCCTTAGTTGTCTTGTGTGGCCAGTCCTGGCTCTGATTTGCCTGAATGCCCTGGTCCTAAAGGCACAAGATGACGAGGAACACCATAGTTGATCTGGAAGAGGGGCAGACACGCATGAATCATACACACACATGGTCACATGCACACTCGCCTCTCCTTGTTCGGGGACACACTGGCCAGGCCATCCATTCATCTCTGAACCTTGTCTCCAGGCTAGCTGGCTGCATGCCCATGTGCTCTTGGCTGGGTGGCTGACCCAGAGCAAGTGTCCTCCCCTTCCATAGCCTCATTTTTCCATTTGCGAAATGCAGGCAGTAATTGTCTACTGCATCCGGTGGGGGCTTACAAGACGGTATTGTTCCAGCTTGCATTAATACCCACCCCCTCACTACCAGAAAGGGAGAGAAAGAAAAATTCTCCCTGAAGTTAAGCAGTAAGCAATCTCACTACTCCTGTTGCTAAGAAAAAAGGCAGAACATTTTTGGGGGGTGAACAGTCTTTTAGGAGTTGGGACCTTGGCCTCTAGTTCTTACATGGTTTTGGATTGTGTGATGGTACTTGTCTCGTTGACAGGCTAAGGCTGGGGACAATGGGAAGAATCTCTCCCTTGTTTTCCTCTTGCTGTTTCTCTTGCCTGTCCACCTTTTGCAAAAGCCAAATCAGAGGGAGGCATTTTTACTGTAACTGTTTTTGAGTTCTTGTCTTGAAGAACCTGTTGCTTTCCTCAATGAAATCTTGCAGTTATTTTGGGTAGTTCTTATGTACACTTAAAACTCTTAAACATTGTCTACCTTTGGTAACAGTTGTTAATGTTTTTATACTAGCATCTCCTGTTGTGTAAGGCCAGATGCACTTCCTATGAAATGGTAACTTAGAGGAAGTGTGCTTTTCTGACTTTCCATGAGTCAGGGCCTTGGTGCTGGAGGGAAGCAGCTTGAAGACTGTGGGGGAGGAGTGTGTGGAGGACCCACAGCGAGAGCCCTTCTGGCTGTGTTATTTTGGACATTTTGGACACAGGCATTGCGGTATAGCTTTACTTCCCAGTGCTGTGTTCCTTTTCCATGATAGTTACCTCTGGTTTTTTTAAAAGTACCTTCTTATCTTGATAACTGTGTTCAGTTAAGAGCAATACACAAAAGTTTTTCTGTCAAGCTAAAAAATAAAATAAAATGAAATCCTAGGCTTGCACTCCAGAGTGAGAAAAGCCCTCTTGCTCTGTTAATGGTTTTCATCATCAGGCTTGAGGGCCCAGTTTGGATCTCCTTGGTGTGTTGCGTGTATGTCCCATGTGGGGCCACGCTCTGCCTGGTTCCTTGCCCCAGGCTTTCCTCTCTTCCCTGTTTCCTCCCTTCCTTCTTGGATCCTCTTGTGTTCAGCTGGGCTCAGAGCACACTCTCATGTTCCTTCTCTGTAAAATTACAACTTGTCCCCCAAGAAGGTCGATGGCACATCAGAACTGACAGCCCCTCCCATTCAGCAAAACATAGCTCTGCAGGGTGTTGGTGCTGTGGGCCCAGGCGGGCCTGCCCCAGCCTCGCGCCCTCCCTCCAACGAGTCACAAACACAGTCCCACCAGAAGCAGGAGGTCCCCCAGGCAGGGAACGGAGTGAGGTGAGAGCAGGAAATGGTGGCTGACGGTCTCTGGCCTGCACCTCCCTTGGCCAGATGGCTGCTTTGGAGGGGTGTAGTGAAGAAGGCCCAGAGCACAGGGGCTGAAAGCTTGGGGTTCTGGGTCAGCTCTGTTCAAAGTGGGATCTTTAACCAAGTTTCCTACATGGGAGGCAGTAGTGTGCTCATTGCGGGGCCCTAGAAGGGTCAGATGATAAGATTATTGTGATAAGGTTATTGTTGGTGTAGGGTCTTCACAGGGCTAAGAAGACGTGGTTTTCCCAATTAGAGAAAACATTTTGTGAATATAAGGGAGTGATATCAGTGACGTTGTGTTTGACAGCGAAAGAAGGGGAGGCCACACATGATTCTTGGCATCAGGGATTTTATATTCTCTTGAGCTCTCTGATGCTAAAATTAACCTGGATATTCTATTAACCGAGCTCAGCCAGCTGCCTGTGCTATTTTTAACCCCTAAAGACTAGTGTGCAGATCTGGGCTATGGCTGGGGAGCAGCCGGGCTCAGGGGCCAAGGGTGATTTTAGTTTGTGGCCCCAGGTTTTACTTGGGAGGGGTGGGTTTGCTGTGCATGTGTGGCATGGAGAGAGTTGCAGACTTTCGGGATCTAGTTTGTGTGTATTATCTCATTTTAATCTGTGTTCTCACAAGTCTGTGACATTGAAGTTGAGGAAGGGAGACCCCTATAACTTAATTTACTTGCCCAAAGTCACCTAGCCTGTAAGAGCAGAGCTGGGGTTTAAACTGATGCGGATGTTCTTGTTCTCTCCACCTACCGTGGTCTGTCTTTCTTTTTTTTTTTTAAAGATTTTATTTATTTATTTGAGAGAGAGAGAATGAGAGAGAGAGAGCACGAGAGGGAAGAGGGTCAGAGGGAGAAGCAGACTCCCCGCAGAGCAGGGAGCCCGATGCGGGACTCGATCCCGGGACTCCAGGATCATGACCTGAGCCGAAGGCAGTCGCCCAACCAACTGAGCCACCCAGGCGCCCCGTGGTCTGTCTTTCTGTGTGATCATGGATTTGAATGGTGGGGGTACAGTGCAGGGCTGGCAAAGACGGAAGTGGTGAGTTCTACGACCAGGAGGGAGCAGGACCACTGTCTCTTGGTGGACAGCCGGGGGCACTGGCCTTGTTGTCCTGAGACTTGTAGTCATTGACTGGGGACTGCCGGGGTGGAAGTTGGAGAGGCGAGGAATTGCGGAGATGGGAGTCTTGAACAGAATACAGAAATCCAGAGATGATTTGTTAAGCAGGGTCACTG